AAGTGTGTGTGTGTGTGCATATTATGTGTGTATCTTAATGTACCAACAATGTTATGCACCACCGCGACAGATTAAGATCAATTAGGGGGCGGACTGTTTTGATCAAACCTGTCAGGGCCAAGCCAAGCCAAGCCAAACTGAGGGAGATACAAAACTCCAACAGAAAAACGAAGATATTCCTTAAAGTAAATCTCCCCTTCGCAGTAATCGAACTCACGTCTTCTGCTCGCAAACAAAACGATTTAATAATAGAATCACAGGCGCCATTTATGAAGTCTGAATTGGGATAACAGGAATCGATACAATTCGTTAAAGCCAAATGAGGTTTTCAGAAAGAAAAATTGACATCAGCAATGTGAATCTCCATTTTCACAGGTATTCCAAAGGCTGCCCCAAATTTCCATTCCACGCCAACTTTCCCTCTTCTCATCATCGCTCTCATCGTTGCGGTCGTCATGATTTCTGCGTTTTTCATCTACTTTGTCGTCGTCCGTCCCCGCAAGCACGCTCTTAGAAGACTCTACAACGCTACGGTGAGCCACAGTTTCATACATACCTTTGTCAGTGTGTGATATACTCGTACAGGGAGTTGCTACAGTAGGTATACAACAATTATCACATCATTGTGGTTGAATGTGCTGTGATATGTACATTTTGTCAGCTTTACTTCTCTTCTCATATTGAAATTTAATGAGAGTGATAATATACATAATATACATTTTTATGTATACCTGCATGTTTTTTTACGGTCCTGTACAGTCAAGAAAAATGTCCCTCTGGGATAATAAAGTATTATCTTATCTTATCTTATCTTAATACTTAATTGATTAAAGTTATTTGCTGGAGAACTGCAGTCGCAGTAGACAGCAAATGATATGAGGCTCCATACATAAAAAAATGCCCAAACCAAGAGAGAAGCTCGCACGCTTCCCAGATCCACAAGCGGAAGTGGAGTTTTTAAATGTTCAAAATGTTGCGAACTTTTCTCTGCCAGAATTGGTCTCATCGGCCACAGCAGAAGACTCAAGTCATCTTTACCTTTAGTTCTCCTAACTCTTTTATTTCGTTGGAGAAATATTCTCCTCTACAGATGTATTGATCATCGTCAGAATTGACGGATGAGTTATCATTTTTATTACATACAAAGTTATTTGCAAATCAGATTAGATGCATTAAAATATTATATTTAATGAAATTAAAGATATACCCAAAAGACCAACCAATTTAACGTGAGAATAGTTTTAATGAATTTTAAGTATTGCGACAATGATGTGATATTTACTGTATACCACTACTTTTGCACCTTGCTGCGTTATAAATGTAGATGTGTTTCGGTCTCCCTACACAATTTTGAACATTAATTAGTTGGCGCTCTACTCCGATGCGGCCCGTCAGGGCCAACCAGGGCTGAGAAGAAAGTCCCAGCAAACAAAAGGAGTTACTCGATAAAAGTAGTCGTCCCACACAGGAATCGAACTTCTGCGCTCGACGGAGAAGGGCTTAACTATTACGCACTACACCACATACACCAGTAGAAGAAGTCGAAAAGCAATGTAAACGATTATGGCAACGATAATGTCCATTTTGAAGCATACAAATGTTATTCTATTATGCTAATATTTACACGGTTTGGTGCTAAGATTGAACGCTAAATGACCCCTGCGATCATTTCTTAAATTCCCCAAAGTCACGTTTTTCTGTTTCGGGCTGCAACATGCAAGGTTATACCTAGCAATATAATCTGCTTTTAAGTGTGTAGTTTTTCATGGACCATCTGTTTTGCCCCGCCCCCCCCCCCTCTATCAGAGCACGGAACACCTCACCAACACCTACGAGCAAATTGTTGGAAGCCCATGGGAGCTACAGAGGGGTCAACTCAACCTTGGCAACGAGTTGTTGGGCAACGGGCAGTTTGGTCAGGTCAAGAAAGGTCAGGTCAAGATAAGCGGTAACAAGATCCCAGTGGCCATCAAATCACTGAAAGGTGAGTTGTTCAAGTGCATCTGAGCCCTCGTTTTCGAACTACCTTGACTTCTTTTTCCTTCCAAGAAATTCTCAACCGAGGTCTGCACTCTCTATGGGGCCACACGAGCGGCTGTGATGTCATTCGCGAAAGACTTATTAAGCACTTATGATTTTAAGAACGTGTGTGTGTGTGGGGGGGGGGGTTACTTCTGCATACTGAGCTTCTATTAAAGACATTTGGACTACTCCGCGTGTGAGTTAACCACTATTTATTTGTCAACTCTTGAGAGATTTTCCATTATTCGTTCAGTGTGGTTGTTTCGGGGAAGGGGAGAAGGTTATACAACATTATTTAGAATTATATGGTGTGGTCTGCTCCATTTATTTTTCGGTGCAATTGCAATTATTTCTTCCCATTCCTGAACAAAGGTGACAAATGAGTTGTTTCTGGCAATCCATGAATGGAGAGGTTAACCAAAAATCGCTACTGGGTTCAAATTTGTAAATTTTCAATTGATGAGATTTTCTTTTAGCATAATGTGTCTTTTAATATTTCACACTAATAAATTATAAAAACTCCGCCTATAAATTTGACATACCTTTACTCAAAGGGTTAAAATCCGAGAAGTAACTCATTTTGTCAGTACGCCTCACATATTAAAAGTTCTGGCCCGTCGTGTCATAAACTACCTACAACTATGCAAGCAGTATTAGTCGTCAAGATGGGGATGATGTTGTTTATTATGGCTAGACGCTTCTCTGTCTCTATTTGTCAGTGGATCCTATAAACACAATTAGAGTTAGTTGGCGGGCCAAACAATTATTGTGCAACCGCACTCCTCATGTTACTTGATACCATTTTAGTTTTGTGTACTTTAGACTGGAGTCTGTAGAGGAGTGGTTAGTCGCTTCGCTGTTGCGTACAGAAGACCCAAGTTCGATTCCTGAGTTGGAAGAAATTTTTATCGAGTATCTCGGTCTTTCTGTTGGGATGTTGTATCTCTCTTAGCCCAGGTTGGCACTGACAGGCAGGCCAGAAGACTGCCTCCTAAATTGTCTAAATTGTTGCAAAGGGGATGTTAAAACACTAGGAGTAGTTTAGTTAAGTTATAAATTTAGTTTTAAAAAAGGCTCAACAAGACGGTAATAACTGTCATTTCGTGCAGAATAAAAGCAAGATAGACAGACCGGAGCAAAAGAGGTAAAAGCACGACAGATAGACAGACCGGAGCAACAGAAAGGGAAAAGTAGGATCTGCCGGTTGCGCCCTCCATCTATCCGAGTTTCTCACAACACCGTGATAATAACATGTGTATTATGTCTATTCTGTACTTCAGTGTTTGATTATCCGTTAGACGGATATTCGCGGTTATGGCAACGATAATGGCCATATCAAACTACAGAGAAAGTATGTCTTATGAGAATGACGGGCACATTATTTGACAATAAAATATCGAGTAACGACCACTTCAGTCATCTTTCTTTCTTCTTTAATAATTTACCATTGAAGGATCCCTAATGCACAATGCCTTTGGTTCCCCAGACAACGCTTCCGAGAAAGACAAGCGAGACTTCCTGAACGAGCTTTCCATTTTCAAACGTGTTGGAAAACATCCTAATGTTGTGTGTCTGGTCGGTGCATGTCATATCAGAGGTAAGAGTCACGCGCTGAATGGGAGAGCGGAACTACTAACTGTCCTTTGTGTGTAAGGCAAAGAGCACAATCAATTAAATTGCACACGTCTGTAGCTTGATTTACAGTTGACACAATTTGTTTGAGTTTGGTACTCGATTATTAATATTATTATTGTTATATTCTGTTTGCATATTTCTCGTGTTACAGTTTACTGTGCACCACCACTGAATTTAATTGTGAGCTGGGACAAAGTGCGATTGTGATCGTTGGTTTTTTTCGTGTTTTTTTTTTTTTGGGTTGTTTTTGTTTTCTTTGTTTTGTGAGGATAGGGATGAAGGATCGGGGCTCTCTACCTTATTTGGCTGGGCCCTATCGGAAATTGGTTTACTGTTCAAAGATAGTGCCCCTGGAATAACATTACCATTGGGAGATTCCATGACCTGTATTGTATTGGAACTGGTGTTATGATAAATGACAAGACTCGTGCAGTTTTTTATTCCAAAAAAAAACGCAGTGAAGAAAATTTGAAATACCTTGCATTTGGCTTCGGGCCTTTGGGCACTATTTGTTTCTTCCCCTTCCTTGCCGTTCTATGTAATAGTAGTTGTATGATGATGATGATGATGATGATTTTTTTTCCTTAATGGGCCTGGCGGACTCCACGAAGAAATCTTCGAGCGAGAGCGAGGCTCTTTTTCGACTCCATTGTCAATATGCTTAGCGGCACCTCCACTCGTCCAAATAACTCCATTCGAATTGCCATTGTTCCTGGACATTCAAACATTAAAATTTGTTTGACATCCACCTTTTCATGACCGCATCTTCGGCAACATGGGCTGAGCTCTTCATTTACAAAGTTCTTATACCATCTTTAGCTCCAGTGATGGTCTGACCGCAGTCTGGCTAGCTCAATATGGTCCCAGTGACATGTGATATTTTGTTCCTGCTTATAGGAGTACCCAGAATACACATCTTCCAGGTGCTGGTACTTAGCACTGCAAGGTGGGTCTCTGATTTCCCTCTTTATCACGGGAAAGACTACTCTGTATGTTGTTGGTCGTCTGTCTCCTTCAATCTCTCTGGTTTCATTAGCAGCTTGGTCTGCAGCCTCATTTCCTTCTATTTCAACATGGCTTGGAATCCACTGGATTTTCATTGTGGCTGTGGCTTCACTGAACTTGCGGCGCAAATCATTTATGTCCGAGCTGTTGCCTAGCAGCCCTTTGCAGAGGGACTGACAGTCGGTCAAGATCAGCACGTTGGTTCTACAGTGGCAATTGTCAGCAATCCATTGTGCAGCAGACATCATTGCCTGGCATTCCTCGTCAAAAGATGATGTAAGGAATGCATCTTTAGTTTTAATAATTTCTGTTCGTGGTGGTTCATCATTCATCATCACCACTGCTGCTGCTCCACCTTCGCGGTATCCTGCGTCAGCCGATCCATTGGTGAAAATTGTCACATCTGCACCAACCTCTTTGATCACATCCTCAGCAGCTTCACGTGCCTTTACAGGATCATCACCTTTGCCTTTTACTCCTCTCAGTTCTGTCCGAATTTCGATTTCGCCATGGGTCTCCCCTGGACAAGCTCTCACCAGATTGATCAGCCATCGATTCCCTGCTTCAGCGGGGGGAGGTGGTCTGCTAGATCGGTGCCCATCCGAAACCAACTTTTCCTGCTGTTTTTAGGCTTGACTGCTTGATCAAGGGCTTTCTTTCTAGGATGGTTGTCTGGCAATCTCTTAGCCATCTCTACAGGCTTGAGGCATGTTCTTTTTGTATAGGTGGTGTAGTGCACAATTCTGGTCTCATAGCTCAGCGCTTATGTTGGTGTTGTTTTCAGTTGACCTGATACAAGGCGGAGGGCTTTGTTTTGTATTCTGTCCAGGGCCTTTGCACTGGTCTCACTCAGCCAAGGCTGCCACGCTGGGGCAGCATAATCCATCTTGCTTTTCACAAACATCTTATTTACTTTCTTGAGCGACTCCTTACCCCAGCCTCATTTTGAGTTGCTGACAGCACCGATAACCTTCATTTTTGAGGTTGCACTTTTGACACTTCCTCAATGTGCTTGTTGAAAGTTAGCTGTCTATCCAGGTAGACGCCCACAGGCGTGGAGTGGGGTTGAATGGTCTCTTTTTCCCTTCGATCTGAATTATTTGTTGCCACGTTGCCTCCTTCACCCATGTTGAGAAGAAGCACACCTCATCATCATGATGATGATGATGATGATGATGATGATGATGATGATGATGATGATGATGATGAGTGAGTGAGCGTGCACGCTGTTTTGAAACCAAATTACACACATCTTCACTTTGTTACTCCAGGAGTGATGTACGTAGCCATGGAGTACGCCAAGCACGGAGACCTCAGGACGTTCCTACGTCAGAGCCGGCGTCTGACGTCACTGCACGAGTACGATAACACGACGTCACCGTTCTTGCATACGGCTCTTAGACCTCAGGCCCTGATCAAACTGTCCTTGGACACTGCAAGGGGTCTTAAACATCTAGCTGACAAACAAGTGAGTTTTAGTCCAATCAGTTGCTTTTTATTTATTTTGTTTGTGTACTTGCATGCACTGTGTGATTGTTTCAGAGTGCCACAAGGTCTGCTGGAGTAATAATACAGATTGTTAAGCGCATATAACTTGCTTTTGAGCAAGAATTTGTGCCATACAAATGCTATCCATCAATATTATTATTATTGTATTAAAATTGGAGGTATATTTGCATCACCACATACATTATTTTGATCCTTTAGGATGTGGTCTGGCGGCTTCGGTCCTGCCTGCTAGAACCAAACCGGGCCGCCGAGGGGGATACAATGTCCCTGTAGACGCACGAAGACACTCGATAAAAATATCTCCCCGCAGGGGAATCGAACTCATGTCTTTTGCGCGCGACGGCGAAGCACCAAACCGTTACACCATAGACGGGGTCTGATATGAGTTGCGTCGCAAGAATAACACGAATTGAGTGGGAATAAATCGCTTACTGTCAATTATTAGCCTTTGAGGAATATTATGTCTTTTTTTCAAAGTGACATGTTTTTGTTTGGGGGTTGTTGTTGTTTTGTTTTTTTGTTGTTGTTGTTTTTTTTGTTTTTTGTTTGTTTTGTTGTTTTTTTTTGGGGGGGTCGTAGAAGCAATAAATTCCCAAAAATAACAGAACTGGGGAAAACAAAGCCAGCATTAACATTTCAAGATAGTTTCATAACGTAATTTACCATATGTGCACTTAGAGTACTAGTCCTGGCTACTTTTTGCTACCCTTATCTTTCCCTTGCCCTTTATAGTTTCTTTCCTTTGTGTGCGTGTGTGTGTGTGTGTGTGTGTGTGTGTGTGTGTGTGTGTGCGTGTGTGTATGTATGTATGTATGTATGTATGTAT